TGGCGCGATTTCGCCCGCGTCAACAGCATCTCTCCAGGCTACATCGACACGGGTCTGTCCGACTTCATCGACCAGAAGACCCAGGACCTGTGGAGGAGCTTCATCCCCCTCGGCCGCAACGGCGACGCCAAGGAGCTTAAGGGGGCTTACGTCTACCTGCTCAGCGACGCGTCGACCTATACTACGGGAGCTGATATCGTCATTGACGGTGGCTACACTGTCCGGTAAGAGCTCTACAGCCTGAGTGTTTGGCTGGGTAGAGCAGCTATTCGTCCAAGACACAGAGGGCTACGGAGATTTGGTCATATTTGCAAAAGTAGAACATTTCACGAATTGAACGACAATTAATTGAATGAATAAGAGGGCCTTGCTGGACACTGCCTCGTGAATCGTGATAAAACAGGTGTGGGACCGCCGAAATGTACGAAAAAACCGACGTGACGCCGTAGATCGAGATGTCTTCACCAGAGCACAGACTGGTGGATGATCCTTTAGTAAAGCCCCGTTATTACCCGCAGGTCCCGGTCGACGGCATCATGCCGCACTGCCCCTAGTTCAGTTGCTTGAGCGATTTGTTTCGTTCAATGGCGGATCACATTATTTCCCGTCCCTGGCGAGACAAACATCCGGGCGAAAGCTCAAAAGAAACATGCAATAGCCGGTATTCGCTGGTGCTTCTCATTCTGCGTAATTGAGCAAAAGAAGCAACCAAGTCTCGATGTATATACTTAAAGTTCAATCGAGCCTAAAATATCTAGAGGAGAGTACCCAGGTTCACATGAACAGCCTTGGTCTGTGAGTAAGCAGCCAGTCCAGCCTCACCCAATTCGCGACCAAAACCACTCTGCTTAACACCTCCGAAGGGAACACGAATATCCGAGTCATTAGAGCTGTTAATCCAAACCATGCCTGATTCAAGACTTGCGGCGACGCGGTGACAGCGCTCAATGTCTTTAGAGAACAGAGCTGCACCTAAGCCGTAGGAGGTGCCATTGGCAAGGTTGATAGCTTCTTGTTCCGTCTTGAAAGGTGTGATGGAAACGAATGGACCAAAGACCTCCTCTTGGAAAATCTGCATGTTCTCCGTTACATCGGAAAATACTGTTGGCTCAATGTAGAAGCCCTTGCCTTGGATGTTCTTGTGCGGGTTACCTCCCGTAACGAGTTTGGCACCCTCGGACTTCCCAGTAGCAATATACTTTAAGATACGGTCATACTGCGCCCTTGTTACTTGAGGTCCCTGGAAAGTGTTATCCTCAAATGGGTTTCCGATTTTGTTTTCCAACGTGATGTTCTTGAAGCGGGTGATATATTCCTGATAAACGCTTTCGTGGACGAGGATGCGGGAGGTCGAGGTACAAACCTGACCCTGGTTGTACATAATGCCTAAATGACCCCATTTGGCAGCTTGGTCCAGGTCAGCATCCTCAAAGATAATTAACGGGGACTTTCCGCCAGTTTCCAGAGTAAGAGCCTTGAGGTTAATACTAGCTCCCTTCATGATTAGGCGTGCTGTAGCAGTAGAGCCCGTGAATGCAATCTTGTCAACATCGGGATGTGTAACAAGAGCATCCCCAGCCTCCTTTCCATATCCATTGATGATGTTGATCACACCAGGAGGAAACCCTGCCTTTTGAACAAGGGTAGCGAAATAGAGGATGGAAATAGGTGTCTGTTCGGCAGGCTTTAGAACGATTGTATTACCGCAAGCGAGAGCAGGACCCAACTTCCAAGCTGCCATCATAATAGGGAAGTTCCAAGGAATGATTTTCCCGCATACACCAATTGGTTGTTTGAGTGTATAAGCAAACTTTTGAGGTGTCGTGGGGATTGTTAAGCCGTGAATTTTATCAGCCCAGCCGCCATAGTAGCGAAGCACAGCAATAGCCTCGCCAAGATCATCATCTCGAGCAACAGTGAAGGGCTTTCCATTATCCCAAGTCTCGAGAGTAGCAAGTGTGTCCTTGTGAGCATCCACAAGGTCTGCGAGTTTGTAAATGAGAGCACCGCGCTCAGTGTTTGAGATGCCTCCCCACTCGGGGGAATGAAGTGCGGCGCGGGCGGCCTTGACGGCTCTGTCCACGTCTTCGGGGCCGGCAGCTTCCACTGATGTAATCTCCGATTCATCACTGGGGCTAATGCTCACAATTTTGCCATTGGATTGTGACTTGACAAATTCATTGTTGATGAAAAGACCGGTTGGAAGTGCGATTCTTACGCCATTTGGCGCAACAAGGTCCACGACTGGAGCAGACATTTTGAAAAATGGAGGGTTATTAAGGGTGATATACTGGAGAGAAAAAGAAACACTCTTGGTAGATGATAAGTTGTGCCCTGCGAGCTCTCAATATTCACGCAACAGCGCATTTTATATACACATCCGGTGATACGGTTGGTCCAATTATTAATTAAGATTCACCTCTTTCGGATATGTTGACCAAAAGTTCATTAGAGTATATCTGGCCATAATTGAGAGTAACTGGTAAGAAGATAGACCACAATAAAAGGCGTGTCCAATATTGTCTCGGCTGTACGAATTTCCCAAAAGAGCAAGAAGAAAGACCAAAGTCAAGACGAGTGCCATTTGGGCTGCCGGACACTAAAACTACCATCCAAAGCCCCCTTATCATCAATGACTCCGCACCATTCTTCATCCAGGCATGACTCGAGTTTTAGCTTGATAGATCAAGTGATTCAAACCCTCCCGGGTCAGCTGCCCTCTCTCTGTTCTCCGTGTTATCTGCATTTCCCTGCACCCAGTCACCCTATTGGTTATAGCGTGATGCTGATGGCCAGTGCCTGGGTGGTGCTCGATCCAAAGATGAACTTTCACATGCTTGAGGGCGATGCAAGTCAGGTCTGAGATCCATTGAGATGGAAACGCAGATATTACCAATTTCTATACAGTTCCAATCTATATCATTGATATTGAGCAAAGTATTAACTGACTGTCACAATGTAAGAGCGTGCGATGATAGCAACTAGAGCTAGAACAATGGAAATAAGCACCCCGAGGACTGGAATTGACCTTGGTGAAAACAATGAACCCTCTCCTCCCTTCTATAGTGAAAGTTAGTTTAAGTTCAGACGGGCAAGAATTAGAATGAAGTCTACTAAAAATGTGTACTTACTAAAGAAGTAGGGTCAAGAATTCCTCTGAGCAGTGGTTGCAACTGCTCGATTGCTTCAGCGCTGTGGCCGACCTCGTGGAATGCTTCCGAAGCATCTGTGCCCAAAACTTCTGTCAAGATATCATCGCCTCCTCTGCGTCGCGGAATATTAGTTCCAGTAGTGAGAAAACCATTGGAAACGTATAATTGCTTACGGGTGCTTGGACATGTAGTCTGTGATTTCATACACTTTTCCGTCAATGACGATGTAGCCAGAAGTCTCTGTAGACTTGGCCTTGACGTCTTTCAAGGTGAATGTGTCAGACATGATGAGTGATGGCAGTAAATGGAGTGATGAAACAAGGTATTGATGCGTTACCAGGGGAAAGCAGTGTGGATGATTTTTAAGAAGTGAAGGAGGGGAGGCTAGCTATTTATACCAAACAATATACGCCACAGCTTTTTGAACTAGCGAATAAAAGATAAAGAGGTCTACATAGGGCTTGTCTACGGAATGTAGGAGCCAGCTACGCAAATTCAGGGGACGTTAACCTGCCCTTGGGGTACGTAAGTACGACACGAAATCGGCCGATGTAATCAATCGATACAGATGGGTAATTTCTTGCTTGACTCATGATATTAGGAAAGAAAAAGCCTTTTTCAGATTCATGAAGATCTCTTGATGAAGAGATAGAGGTGCTCGTTCCGTACATTTGCTCGTTCTCACATGGCTTAAGCTACTCCTTGTATCTGCAACGCCCACCAGTTTATCAATGGAACTCTGTTCCTTTCCCTTTATTGTATGCTATGTAACGTATCTAAGCAGGAATTGTAGCCTCCACCTCAATCTCAACTTGCATACCCTCCAATCCAAGCTTTCCGATCTGAATGCATGTCCACACGGGGCGGTGGTTGGGAAATAGCTTCTTAAATTGGGACGTCATGACGTCGAAGCTAGAATCCATATCAAGGTGGTATGAACGGATGGCGAAGATGTTGTCGCAGGTAATTCGGGAATCGACAGCTTGCAGAGCTTTGAGGACGTTCTTGAAAGCGACCTCAATTTGCTTTGTGAGGTCCGAGATGATGTTGCCTTGAGCGTCCCAGCCTCCCTGGCCGGACGTCTTGACAACGTTACCGAGCTTGACAGCTTGGGAGTAGTGGTACTGTTCGGCATTGGTCTCGGTGCCGGGGTAGTTGAAAAATTCACCGGAAGACATTTTGATAATATTGAAGCACAGTCGTTTTGAACAAGGGGATATCTTTCTTGTAAGGGCGTACTGGATGGTTCGCGGGAGTGATATATAATAACAATAACATGAGCTATCTATGTCAAAATAATAAGTCCATAGTATTCATATTTGATTTGCATAAACCTTTGACCCGGTCAGGGGCCAGCCTCCTATCTACGCCCGAGTCATTTTTCTCCAAGACCACTTGGGCTGCTGTGAGATATTGGCCCCGAACCTACCTGATATAGTTAGACCGGAGACTTCCAACATAGAGGCAAGCTTGCCTAGTCTTTTAGCAAAGACAATCTAGATATTGACCAAAGAACAAGAACGGCCAATCTGGACGGAAAGAACCATTAGGCTTTGTATAGAAGCTCGAATCATGTTATGGCGGGTGCCTGGTGGGTCCAACAATCGGAGAGATGCATCTCAGGCAGACGGAATAATTCTTCAGGCAGACTTCGTCGAGTATTAATTGCTCGTCGCTTAGGCTTAGCACCTAGAGTTTTGCATCATCACTAAATCTGTCCAAAGCTCTCTTTCTCCCATTCACAAACTGACCGACCAACCTGACCGAAACAGGAGAGCCAGAATGTGCCAACCTTTTACCGCAGTAGATGATCTATCATCCTCGAGAATATTTGGTGTTGGGAGCAGTATGTCTGCTTTTATCGCCTGCTTGGTTGTCACAGTTCTTCTCCTTAAAAAGTACGGCTTGATTCCTACCAGTACGTTGATTCCAACATGATTCCAACCAGCCATACTAGCCTTGCGATTTAACCATCATGTAGAAAAGAAAGGAGTCCTCAAGCCCGATCAGTTCCAGGACTTCATTCTTCAGAAGAAAATAGCCATATCCCACAATGTCACCATGTAAGCCACCATCAACCTGTAGCTGTCTCAAACTCCATGAATGCTAATTCAATATAGCTATCGATTCCAACTGCCAACTCCAGATTCCATCCTTGGACTGGCCATCGGACAACATATCTCGATAGGCGCCGATATCAAGCAACTAGACGGCAGCATAAAGGAAATCGTCCGATCGTATACCCCCATTACCGGTGACGACCAGCCTGGGCAATTCGATGTCCTGCTAAAAACATACCCACAAGGCAATATCTCTCAGTACATGACATCCTTGCCGATCGGCCAATCGATAAAAATGCGTGGGCCAAGGGGGGCGTTCAACTACACCCCAAACATGGTACGAAGCTTTGGGATGATCGCAGGTGGGACGGGTATCACGCCCATGCTGCAGATCCTAAATGCAATCGTTCGCGGTAGAGCTACTGGCGACAAGACAGAGGCACACTTGATTTTTGCCAATGTCGCTGCTGATGATATTCTGCTCAAGAAGGAGCTGGAGCAACTGGCCCAAGATCCTAAGATCCACGTCCACTATGTTCTGAACCAACCTCCAAAGGATTGGAAAGGCGGCGTAGGATTCATAACGGAGACCATGATCAAAGTAAGTCTTTTCGTCTCTACATATGACTTGAGCTTAACAGTTCACTCATTCTTTACGCGTAGGAGTGGCTCCCTGCTCCTTCTGCAGATGTGAAAATTCTTCTCTGCGGACCACCCCCTATGGTGACCGCTATGAAAAATGCGACACAAGCTCTTGGGTTTGAGAAGTCTTCTCTTGTAGGGAAGATGACTGACCAAGTTTTTTCCTTCTAAATGCTTACACAATAATTTTACACAATAATCCGGTTGGATGATTATTTTCTTGGTACTCTGGAATACCATTCGTTGTTTCTTCCGCTTCGCCGATGGAGATATCAATTTAGAGAGAAAAATAAAGATCCAGGCTATTTAGATGATTAGGTATAGATGCACTCTTAATGGACTCTCCTTATCGAAATAATATTATGTCACACAGTAGCGCCAAAATCACAGCGAGGGTCCGATCACTCGACCCTACACTCGTAACGTATCTACCCTACACAAGGAATTTACCTACGAGTATATAATAAGAATCTCCGAAGCTCGTGGTTAAGAGCAGCAGGGATTGGGAATGGATCTACGGATATACATTTATTATATACAGTTAATTAAGCGAGCGTTATTAGTATAAATAGCGTAGAGTCTGGTAAGCTTGCTAATGAAGCTTAACGGATATCTTGAATATCTATGAAGTTCCTATCCTTCGGTTTTCATGCTCCAACTTGGTCCTAGCTTTGCACTCCTCTGTGAAATATTACCAATATTATTTCATTCTTCTCTTGCACTCTTAAACTCAGATAACAAAGCTACAGAAGCTGAAAGTAACTACGACAAGTTCTTCAAGATCTTCACTTAATTCAAATTGTCCAAATAATGACGCCACAACACTCGCCCCAGCGCCAATAAGCAAAGTCTCAAGTATCGTATATTAAGTCCCATTTGCGATCTTATATACTTCATTATGCCCCGGAATGATGGATATCATGTAGTAAAGAAAAGCTTCATATCTTTATGATTTCAAACTTCAGCCTTATCCAATACAGTACCATGTGCATCTTAGGAAAGTTAAGGCAGCGGATATTGATCAAAGACTTTTTATCTTGCATCTAGTGTGACTCGCCGCCATGTTTAGCCAACAGATTCCAATATCGCTGTGCCGTGATTCGGCGAAAGTATTTTCCAACTATGATCATGAGAAGGCAAAGAGACCATAAAATAATTCCCAGAACGGAGATCAAGACAAATGCGTATTTGAGGTTCAGGTTCTGAATCATCGGGACCACAGCATACCCGAATGCGAAGCCTGAAAAGGTCAGTCCATACTCTTAAATGGTCGGAATACTGGGCTTCTGAACATACCTAGCAAGTTTCGAATGAGAATTGAAGATACAAGACCTTCGCCAGCAACCTCTGGGTAGGTATCTAGAATATAAGTAAAGGCGAGGACAGATCCGAGTGGGAGGGTAATTGAGATCAAGCAAAGTCCGACAGCAATGCCTGCCCAATGAATCTGGTTGAAAGCTCCGAGCCCGTATAGGAGACAGCCTGCAGGATGAGCCAGGAGCCCGATCAGACAGAGCCAAAGACGATGCTCAGGCTCCATGACACCGCCTTTTCTCTTGGCCATCCACAAAGCCAGTCGATCACTCGCAAAGCTTGAGATTATGCATCCAATGGTAACGCCAATCGCATTTGCAAGGTAAAACAAGCCGACCACGTTGGATACAAAGTTATAGGGTGGCGCACTGAGAATGAGGGCCAATGAGCCACCAACAACATTGTACCAAGCAAGAATACTGCCAACAAGAAGACCAGCAAAGACCACACCTGGGAACTGAAGGAGAATAAAGGGCATGAAGAACCGCTTCAGCTGACTTGGCTGCTTTGGATCCCTGTATCCCCACAAAGCGAGCTTTTGCATATAGGTTCTCTCGTCCTCTGGTTCGTAGGTAGCGGGTCCGGCCGTGTCAGAGTGGCTGTCGGGTGGTGATGGAGCTGTGGCCTTAGGATCCGATGATCCTTTCTCAGCGGTGCTGCTGTCGACGACAACAGATTGGACGTGATCTTGGATCCCTACAATCTCTGTTTGAATAGCTCCCCGATAAAACATTGTCTCTTCGAAGAACAAAAAGGTAGTGATGGTCATAAACGCCGATACAAAAGTCAGGATATATTGGATCCATCTCCAACCCAGCGATTCGGCGATGAATCCCGTGATAACCGGGCAGATGAAAGCTCCGCACCAGAGCATCCATGAATAAATACCCATGAAGAAACCCCTCTCGTGAGTGAAGTAGATGTCGCCAATGATGACTTCAATAAGTGTTTCCATTGGTGAGGACACAATACCGAGGATAATTCTGTTGACGTAGAACTCCCCTTGTGAGCGTACATAGGCCGACCAAAGCGTGACAAATGTTGTCAAAACACTCGAAGCAACCAACACAGGTCTCCGACCATAGCTGAGGGCAAGTTGCTGGGTAACGAGAGTTCCCCAACCCAGAAACAGGTAGAAAACACCATTTGCAGTGCTGAGGTCGGCAATTGAGATGCCTGTATCTTCTGAAATCATGACGTAGGCGGGAGAAAGTCCGGAAATGATGGCCGCAGCAAGTACACACCAAGTCATAGCCCAGAAAATGGCAGTGGTCTTCCTCCTGTGCGACCAGTTTAGAGGATCGTTAACTTTGTTACTTGGCTGAGGGATCAAAACGATATCACTGTCCCCTTTACCATGCTGGGCAGATAAGACATGCCCAACATCAACTAGCTGCACTGTTCCAGGTATCGCGGGACTGGTCATGTTGATTGTGTTGAGCCAACTGATTTGAATATAAAAAGTTGCCTGAATATTTGAATATTTGAATGAGAGGGGGGGAAGGTTGATCAAATCTTGAAATCCTGGGGTAATTGATTCTAAAATATACAAGAATCTCTACGGACTCCCGGCCCGTAAAGTCCCCCCTGCACAACTCACGACTCGACAAGAATAGACCTTAAAGCTCCCCGTCTACTAGAATTGTCTTCGGTGGGTCTGGAACTTCAAAGTTCTCCTCATTTTTGTCTCTTGGAGTTGGACCTTATCGCACCAGTCCTAAATTAGAAAGAATATAGACCAAACGCGAAGTTGGGGTAAAGTATGGGAATCCGTAGTGCATTAGATAGGGGTCTACTTTGTTCTACCTCTACTCTATTGGAAATCCTTATCTCGGGCCATATTCGAATCCGGCAAGTAGATAGTTCAAAATCATCGCACCATTTGAAAGACGTAGAGTGCTGCTTCCTCGGTGTTATGGTTGTTTTCGCTGAGGATAAGCAAACCCCTGACGCCGTAGATACTTCTTTGAATGCGCAGCATGTCACCAGAGACTGAAACGAGTGCCAATATTTCATGCTGACGGAACCATGAAGGTCTAGTCAACATGATATCTTGGCAGAAGTAGAATCGCGATTTGGCAGTGATCACTGATAACGTTGTTCATGCCGAAGTCATACATCTAGACCTACTTAAATGCGCTACATTTAAGACTGCCGGCAAGGTTAAGCAAGCTAGAGAAAGCATCACAACCCAATGTTTGTTAAGAAGGATTTCTCATTTTACCACAGAGACCACGCGCCCTTGCCACCCCCTCGACGGACCAAGTTTGGCTAATACAGCTCCGACTGGCACTAGCACGGCAGCGACGGCATTACCACGAGTCATACTGAGGGCGCACGGCCAAGGGATGGAAAGCAAGCAGAAGAACGAGTGACAGACTACATCAGTTTGTATAAAGTCAACACATCCTACTACCTTGCAAAACAAAAAAAAGAAATAAGAGAAAAGCCATAGTTTAATGCACCCACTGACGCTCGTTAATATAATTGAGCTTTATGGCCAGCCAGTGCGGAACAAACAGTTAATCAGAGCACAACAGTGTCAGGCCCTAATTCAACAAACATTTCAAACCAGGATAGTTCATTACTGTCCAATCGCCAAACACTATCGAGCACATTGCTCACCAGTTGAACAGACGCAAACTTGATCTCACTATAAATAGAATTCACCATATTAACCACACACTTCTGATCCTTGATGGACTGCACATGTGCTCCGGCAATAAGAAGAGGGAGAATAACGCAGTTCAATACTCTCGATGGTCTCTCGATGCCGGAAATGGAGCTCAGACAAGGCATCACATGCTGTTGAACAAGGGGATGACGGGTAGGCAAGCCACAAATGGCTCTGTAGAGATAAATAAGAGCTGCGTGCTGGAAGGATCGAATCAAACTGGAGGCGTGGACAGCTTCAGCACTAGCAGCCGTTTCATCCCAGCCAAATATTTCGCTGGCATAGACATCCTGACTGCGATGTGTGGCATAAGATGGTGTCAAGCTGATTTCAAACTGGCGAATGCATTCTGGTCGAAGTTCCTCTAATCCAGAGTTAATCGATTCATGATAATGCACCATGGAGCTGATGTGGCCAAATACAGACGCAAGGGAACACTGAGCAAGAGGTTCGCGGTCCCACCAGACAGACCGTTGCTCAATTCTGTCCCAGATCCCAGGGGAGAAGTAAGGTAATCCACCCCGTAGCATTGTAGTAGTGAGATCAGTTGAGGCGAACTCAGAGACAAGCATGTGAAGACACTCTGGGCCAATGTCCAGGACTGCCTCACCACCTCCGAGCTTATCAATAATAGCTCGGACTCCCGCCTGATGACTAGAGGTTGAAGCCGATTTCTCAGCGCACTCGAGATATCCATCATGGAAATAGAGCATCAAGACAGAAAGCAGCAGCTCTACCATTGGCCCTTTTCCACTCGCGCAAAACTCATTGAGCTGGTCCCTCACGGCAGCAAGACACTCCACACGCTTGATCTGTGGGACTCGAAGACTGTTTCTGCCATCTTGAAGAACTCTATGTCGATCAGCAATGAGACAAATAGCGAGTAGAAGGACGCGTTGCTCAAGTGCCAGCGTCACAGGCGGGGCACAGGGTGTTGATGCTGTCGACATCAACGGCCAGAACCGGCCTTGAAAGTACGCCAGAGCACGTTTTTCATTGATGGACAGAGACTCTGCCAACTGACTGCCTTGGTCGAGGATTTGGTAACTCGGCGACACGGGTAGTGTGCGCTTGGAGCTCCAGCGAATGAGACGGTTGTTGTAGTCGCAGGTGGCTCCGATCTGGGTACAACGCACGCAGGAGGGTTTTGTGAGGTCGCATTTGACACGGCGTTTCCTACATGACCAACACGATCCTTGTACGATGCGGACTCTGCTGATACTGGTAGATTGTCGGCGTCTATGGTTTCGTCCCGGAGAATCCATGTTGTGAAGATGGATGAATGGTAGATGAAATGTTTCAATAGAAAGGATCCTCAAAAGAGTTGAAAACTTGCCAAGAGAGAAAGGAAAGCGGAGATTCCATTCGGGTCGTGTATAAAGGGGACAGGGATGATCTTGCGGGGTAGAAATGAAGCTGATTACAGGAAGAGTACTTGGGGTAGGTAAGTCAAAGTTTAGCCTGGGGTACATGAATCAAGGCTGAAAAGGTCACCTTACTTATTGGGGACTGCTGTTCTCATTGGTCTTGATAGTCCTTATCTTGATCACGGGGAAAACTGCCGCTGACGATCTTTAAAGTTATCTCTCCCCATCCTGATACCCACTGTGTCATTGCCCCGACTGAGGCCAGTCCGCCCCTCTTTGAAAATGGTCAATCTTGTTGCCTAATTGAGAGAAGTCCCAAAATCCCAGAGACCTGTACATAATTTCATCCAATCAAAGTGTCTTGATAGGCCCGAGTCAGTCAGTGGTCTAAACCTTATGGAGGCCCAGGTTATCATTTTCCTAATCTTGTATTCCTTTCTCAACATATTTCTTAGGGATCGGACTGTTCCATATCAGATCCTCTAGCAAACGTCCCTCTGAGACAAGCACAGCAAAGCATTCATGGATCATCTAAAGACCATCTGGGCAGAGTATGGAAACTCACCCGCTACTCTCACAATCCTCGGTGTCACCCTCACACTTTGCGTCGCGATCTCTCTGCTGTTATTTCCAGGAAAAACTGGTGATTCAATAGAAATATCCCAGGTAAGACTTCATACTTTCAAGTTTCTAGATCTACAGAATCAATATCTGAAACATAATCTTCAGCTATACGTTTATCCTGTAAAAGCTCTTCGGGGTAGCGCACTGCAAAAGGCACATATCGGCCAGTATGGAATGGTCGGCGACCGAACCTTCTCCTTGCAAAGAGTGCACCGAGATGCGGAAAATCCCGAAAAGCCACCTAGGTACGAGACGATGCTGGCAGGGTACTATCTACAACTGGCACTGTTTCGGGCCACCATCGAACATGAAGGGAACCGGGAGAATTCCGTCAATGGCCAGGTAGTCGTCACTTGGTGCGGTCGAAACACGGAATTTGACACGGCCAAAGATATCACTACTCCTGACAAAATTCAATTCCCGTTGAAACCCGACGTCGCCGGCCGCAAATCATTCGAGACGAGCCTTCACGGCAGCACAGCCATGGCATTCGACATGGGAGATGAGTTCAGTCGATGGTTTTCTGACCGTACGGGGATGGAAGTCAGACTCGTCTTCATTGGGAACGGTTCTCGGCCCGTGTTGGGACCGACAATGGCTCCCAATAGCAAGGGTGGCCTGAGCAAACGACGAATTCTGGACCGAGCAAAGGGATTTCTCCCATTCTTCACATTTCCGGCGGAGCGACTGGTATTCAACGATATTGCCCATTATTTGGTTGTCACCGAGGAATCCAATGATGCCCTGACAGCCAAGCTCAAAGACGGCTATGAAATGGATGTGAGAAAATTCCGACCAAACATTGTTCTCAAAGGTGCCTCGGCCCCCTGGGTGGAGGACTACTGGGGAGAAGTGACCTTTGATGGAGGGATTCAGATGCCTCTTATGGCAAACTGCTATCGGTGCCAGAGTATCACGGTCGACTATGACACAGGGAAAACAGCTACAGATGATCGCGGAATGGCATGGAAGAAGCTCAATAAGGATCGACGAGTAGACAAGGGAGCAAAATACAGCCCGGTCTTTGGAAGATACGGCTACTGCTTCGGATCATCGACCGGAAAGACGGTGGAAATTGGCCAGAAGGGCAAAGTCACTCACATAAATAAACAGAGAACGACTTTTGGTAAGCTACTCGCTAAAGAAAGTGCTTTCGAGAAGATGCTAACGCCACTTATAGACTGGCCCCATCTTACAGGCTTTGGATTGACCCAATAAAGTTCATGATGTCCCTTGAGCTTATGCCGGAATGCGGAGATGCAAAAACTATCATGGGGAAATCTGGTTGAGGTTTGATTGGAGGAGCGTCCCTCTGTCGCATCTACTTCGCCTTACCTGAGCAAGATAGCCTATTCTTCCTACTACTACTCCTACTATGAAATATAACGTCATTTCTGAGCACTATGGACTGGTGTTTCTTCAATCGTATAGCTTGCCTACGGAGGAGCAAGATTCGATAAGATTATCTATATATTTCTAAATAGCTTTAATAATATAAAGTCCGGGAAGATAATAAAGATATTGATAGAGGGTTCTTTTTTTAGCCTTTGTTATATACAAGTAGAGGCTCGTATTCGTAGTTTAACAAGACATAATTTATTATTTTACTACAAGTGTTCATACAGGTAGTCACTGACTGGAAACTAGAACCAGGGCGATCTGCCGGGGACGAAAGGGTAGAACTTGTGCAACGCTCAACATGCTCAGGGCAAGGCATAAATACATTCATGCATTACGTAAGCTCTCTGAAGTGCCCAGCGCCTGTATGCCTTGCCTGTTACAAGGCTCATTCAGCTGCATGTTGATGAATTGGTCACATTTCAGCTGGACCCCGCACTGCCTCTGGTCAGAGACTTCCCCCCTCATCGTACGTCGTGCTCACCTTGGACAACTAATCACAAACTGTGATCGAGCAGAACGGAGAGGTGATGATCTCTGCGATAGCTCCTTAAACATGGTCGCTAGTAAGCCATCTTCGAGCAGATTGAAGCGATGGGCCAAGAGATTAGGGAGAAGGTCTGGCGATGCCACCGACCGTAATAGTCAGGTTTGTTTCCCATTTGACATTGCTGGTTTCCCCGCTAACTCTCGGCCCATCTAACTAGTCCTCGCGAGAAGCTGTTGTTCCTCTATCCCAAGTCGAACAACTCGCCGACGCTACGATTCCGGCTGATCAACTGAGCTCCAACGTCAATATAACCAGCCCCCAAGATCAAGCCGCGGATACAGCTGTAGATAACGAAGCGCTCACTCTTGCTAATGAACAAAGCCCTTCAGCTGGCAATGGCGATGACGCTCCAGGCTTACAGGCTGCAACCGAGGTGCAGGTCGCAGCTTCTGATAGCCTGTGGAAGCAAGCTTTAAAACGCATAAGGGCCTCTGAAGTAGATCCAGATGTTGTCGCAGAAGTCTTGAAGCTTACGGAACAGGCAACCGATGGTGAATATAGCTCTGCTATAAACTCGGCCAAGGACATTCAAGTGTGGATGGAGCGGCAGCTCGAAGACATGAAGAAGAAGCAGAAGACGGCAGCGTGGAAGATCAGTATCCATAGAACCAGCTATTCCCTGGATGGCTTTATCGAGAGAACCGTCGCCGTGTTGAATAGGTTTGTCGCTGTTGGTGATGTGGCCGTCAGTTTTGACCCGGTTCACGCAGCTTTGCCATGGGCTGCTGTGCGGTTCGTCTTAGTTGTAAGTATACTTGAGCCAACACCAACCATCTTATCCTGTGCTGACTAGATTCAGAACCTCACCGCTCGGAGCAAGCTGGCCAGCGAGTTAACCTTTGGCCTCGCCAAGGTTACGACATTGGCTTCTCAGTGTAGCATTTACCAAACACTATATGGCACCTCCAAAATCTCCGTGGAATCACAGGATGTGCTAAGGAACTTGGAAGAAACTATAGTTGACGTCCATGTCCAGTCATTGCTGTTTCTCGGTTTCGCGGTCCTGCAAGGCGGTAGCAATCACTTCATGGCCGTGTTTAAACTAGACGACCTGGAAACGCATAACCAAAAACTTCTAGATGTCGGTAACAAGCTTTCCCAAGCTGCAGAAAATTGCGAGAAGTTCAGTAATCATCATGAGCGGCAGGATGTCAACAAGATGCTGCAGCTGGCAAGAGACTCACATTTAGCTCTCCAAACCCAACAGTACGTACAACAAAGCATTTATTTATTTCCGTCATTTGAGCTACGAGTTAACTCTTCACAGAGAAATTCTTCTCGACATCCGAAAGTATACGCTGCTTTCTACTTTGCGGCATGCCAAAGGCGCCGCATACGACTTTCACGCCAACGAGAATGACCCTCGCTGCCATCCAGATACCCGTGTCGATCTGCTTCATCAAGTCCAACAGTGGGTGCGCAGTGACGACAGCGAGCCCATCTTTTGGCTGGAGGGAAAGGCCGGTACCGGCAAGTCGACCATCGCTCGCACCGTAGCAGCAACTCTCGATACAAGTGGTGAGCTTGGCGCAAACTTCTTCTTCAAGCGAGGCGAAGGGGATCGCAGTCGGGCTGCATACTTCTTCACTACCATTAGCAAACAATTGTGCCAGCGGGTACCTTCTTTTGCAGAATCTGTACAACACGCGATCGAGGCTGACCCAGAAATCACGGAAAAATCGATGCCCTCGCAGTTTGAGAAGCTCATTTATCAACCATTGGAATCATTGAGTCAGAGAGGAGGCGGCAAGTCGAGAATGACTGTCGTTATCGACGCCCTAGATGAGTGCGATCCGGAGGAGGACGCCAAGCGCATCATTGAGCTTCTGGCGAAGGCAGAAATCCTACCAGGATTCAAACTAAAATTCTTTCTAACCAGTCGACCCGAATATCATATCCGTCTTGGTTTTGACAAGCTCAAAGTCGGATCTCACAAAGCTGTGGCGCTGCACACCATTCCAGAACCCGTGGTCGAGCATGATCTATCGGTCTACTTTGTGCACCAGCTGGCACTTATCAGGGACGAGTACAATCGCCTGGCTCCGGAGGAGTTTCATCTGCCCGGGGACTGGCCACCTGCGGACGTGATACAGAAACTCGTCAGAATTGCTAATCCGCTGTTCATCTTTGCCGCCACCGTCTGCCGCTTGTTGGAAGATATGGCGCCCTTGAATCCGGCAGAAGAGCTGAGCAACATCTTGATGCTTCCAACAGAGACTTTGGATGAGAAGCTTACTGCCACATATGTTACAGTTCTTCAGCGATTCGTAACCGGGAAACTTGGTTCTCGCATGACCGGCCGACAAAAAGATGACATCGTGTCGCGGTTCAGGAATATCATTGGATCCCTCGTCCTGTTGGCAGAGCCGCTCTCTGTCCTATCTCTTGCTGCCCTGCTTGGAGTTAGTCCATCTACTGTTGATGGTATCGTCAACTCTCTTCATTCGGTCCTCAATGTCCCGCGCGACTTGAAGTCTCCTGTTAAGATCTTCCACTTATCCTTTCGCGAGTTTCTTGTCAAGCGGGATGGAGATTTTTCAAGCGACTTTCGGATAGACGAGGAGAAGATTAATGAGGAGTTGGCGACAAAGTGTCTTGAACTCCTTTCTAGCAATGATCGCCTTAGATACAACATGTGTAATTTGGAACAATTAGGCAAGCGTAGGAGCAACATACCCCAGAAAAAGGTAGAAGGCTCCTTCCCACCAGAGGTTCAATATGCGTGCCTTTACTGGATCCATCACCTGGGAGAGGGCAAAGCCGTACTTCGAGACGAAGGACAGGTTCACGAGTTCCTCAAGAAACATTTCCTTCACTGGCTTGAAGCATTGAGCCTAATGGGCAGATTAACTGAAAGCACACGGCAGATCCAGAAGTTGCAAACATTGGTTGACCCCAATGAAGGTATCAAGATCACGGAATTTTTACGCGATGCAACACGCTTCATCCTCCGCTTTCGCGCCATCGGCGACGAAGCGCCTCTCCAATTTTACTCCTCGGCCCTTCTATTCGCCCCGAGGAGGAGCGTCATCAAGAAGACCTTCCAGAAACACATCGAGTGGATAAGGCAAAAGCCAAACGTTGAAACCGACTGGGACCCTTGTCTTCAGACCCTCGAGGGGCGTATCAGACAAATTCAAGCAGTAGCGTTCTCACGGGATGGCCTTTCCATCGCCCACGGGGGGAATGCCTTCGGACTTAGTCTTTGGGATACCACGACGGGCGAGCTCCGGTACATGACCCGTATCACTGAGAACTTTAAACCAGAATCTTTCACTTTCTCGAGAGACGGTCAGCTAGTTGCGTGCGCTATACACGACTGCACGGTCAAACTTCGGAGCGTGGCAACAGGCGAGGTTCAGCACAGGTTTCAGGGACACACAGACAAGGTCCTATCAATTGAGTTTTCTAGCGACAACGCCAGTATGGTATCGGGATCTAGGGATTGGACAGTGAAAGTCTGGGACCTAGCTACGGGGACGCTGCGGCTATCCCTTGAGGCGCATACTGACCCGGTGTACTCCGTCGCCTGCGCGAATAATGGCAGGCTTATAGCCTCTGGGTCCTTCGACCAGACGATCATATTATGGGATGCATCAACAGGAGAGCTCCAGAGAACTCTAAAGGGCCATGGTGATATCTCGAAGGTCGTTTTCTCACCAGACTCCAAGCTCCTGGCATCGGGATCAGAGGACAAATCAGTCAGAGTTTGGGATGTGGAAAGCGGCGCGCTCCAGCTCTCCATACAGCCTCACGATAGTTATCTACTGTCCATACTAGACTTCTCTAGCGACAGCAAATTCATAGCGCTGAGGAAGGGCCGCACGGTAGTAATCCGGGACATGGTATTAGGACGAATCCATCAGACGCTCAAAGGTCATTCCGTAGATGTCAAATGCGTCGCTTACTCGCCTAGTGGTGGGCTACTGGCAACTGCTACACGCGACGCGGTCAAGATATGGGACACCAGCATTCGGTCTTTGGACCAAAGCCCGGAGGGCCATAGCCAGAAAATCCTTTCGCTGGCATTATCCCCCGATTCCAGGCTAGTGGCATCGGCCTCATGCGACAGCTACATAAAGGTGTGGAATGCAGCTAATGGAAAACTCAAGTACTCTCTACCAGATCGCACTGATCGGGAAAAACCAGCAGTCATTTTCTCGCCCGACTCTACACTGATCGCATCAATATCAGACGATGATTCTATCAAGTTGCGGGATGCAAAAACTGGAAAGGTGCTGCAAACTCTCAAGACGAAACGCCAAACATACATGTACCAGACCCTTGCTTTCTCCCCTGATTCTCAACTTCTCGCAGTATCAGTGGGCTCTATAGTCGTAGTCTGGAATATAGGTGACGGAGGAGGAGCGTACTTTGAACTTTACAAGAATAGCGATAGCGAGACCGAGCAATTGGTTTTCTCGCCTGGTTCTACTTTCATAGCAGCATCCACCTGCACGAATACCTACATATGGGATGTAGAAAAGAGATGGCTCTTACACACACTCACAAGACCTTCCCGGATGCCGCTGTGGATGGGATTCTCTCCTGATTCCAGGGTGCTGGGGCTGAGATTCGAAGGCAATGGTAGATTCGGAGGCAATGGTAGATTCGAAGTTCATGATATATTCGAAGGCAATGGTCGCAACATCATCCAGATCTGGGATATACTCAAGGGGGTCTTGGTACAAACTTATCAAGACTGTGGGTCGGCGACATTCAAGACTGTGTTCTCGGCGGATAGCAAAAGACTCGAGGTCACGTCGTGGGATAAGTATCATGAGCTTGTGGTCCGGGAAGAATTAAACTGTGAGGTGGGGACTCCAGACTCGTCATCCACGAGTGGAAATACTACGCTGCTTGTAAGTCAGGTGGAACTATCCAAGTCTCGAAGCTACAGAGTGGATGAACACAACTCGTGGATCCAGTTGAATGGACAGAACCTGCTCTGGATACCTCCCGATCACAGACCAACGAAACCTCTCTTTCAGCTGTCTCCGGATTCTTCACTGCGTACTTGGGTAGCAGATAACGCGGAAAACCGAATTATCATTGGGTCACCATCGGGCAGAGTAACTTTCATCGAGTTTGACTCTTGACATTCGCTACAACAGATATCTCAAATAGTTTGGACATTGAAATATTGTAACCATCTTCAAGATCTAGACTAGATAGTTGGGCATCACTTACTTGCAGGTCTATAGGCTAGACTTGAGAATAATCTATATAGAAAGAATACTATTAGTTGGGCTTATACATTACTATAAGCCTAGTATTACCTATATCCTAAGCAAAAAAGAACTCAAAATTAATATAAAAGAGCTAAAGAAATAGTATTATTTTAAGTCTATTAAAAACTAGAGCTTATTTAGTATAAAAAAACTTGTATTATAGTATAGACTAATATTGAATAAAACTAATTGATTAATTTAATTGATTAAATAAGAGTTTAGAAAGGATCTCTTATATTCCAGTAGTAACGATATTTTTAGAGTAACTAGATTTCTAGATACTAACTCCACTTCCTATCGTAGTTTGAAACTGTACTTTTTATAGAGAGAGTAGTAGCAGTAGAGGTAGCCTCTGGGCGTGGTATGCAGGTTCTTATAGCAGGTGTAGGAGGAACACTAGTCAAGATTGCAGTAGGGGATGCAAATATCAGTCTTAAACTTGAAGAGAAACTTCACCTCATGGCAGCCTTCTTCGACTGCCTTGGAGAGGCAGAAGACAATGACTGGTGCATTGCCGCAGGTGCGGACCATGGAGTGGCCACCATCATTGCACACTAGGTGCTCGTCGACAATGCTGCAATCGGGATAGGAGAAGTTGCCAGTGACTTCGGCTTCGGGGTACAGATAGATGAGGCTAGGGTCCTCGGCCGCCACAGCGGCGTATAAGACGGTGTCACCGCCAGGTGTCTGTACCTTGAGGGGGTTATCGAGGGTGACGTCGATACTCTTAAACGCAAGCTAGTCGGATTCTCTGCCGTAGCCAAGGAAACTGGCAACGGCCGTGAGAGACTTTCTCATTCCATCGGAATGGAGATTACTTCCATTTGAAGCGGGATAGACTCGCTGCAGTTGGGAAGGGCTCGGAGTCGTGGATGCAAGGCCTAGGCGTGATGCTCCTATTCACGTTACGGCCCTCGAGGCAGAACTGGTTGGACACAAATTACCGCTAGTCTTTGATATTCTTGCGGTCACCGCAGTTGCGTAGGCGTCTGGCCATCATCCTGTACTCGCCCTCCTTGACGGGGATTCCGCCAGTGAAGTTTGCCGATCCACCGGCATATCCAATGCGGCTAAGACGGGGCTGATACTGTACGGGGAACTCCGCATCGGGCATGCTCAGGCTACCAAACCAGTTGTTTTTACCAGGCAAGGGAGAATATGTCTAGTGTTCGGGCTTCTAGTGCTTTTCGACGTAGTGAAGACTAGAATCAGCTACTGCTTACACTGCCTCAAGATAGAGAAGGGAAGAGGGCAGGGAAAATGAACTGGGTTCACTTACATCGAAGCTGAGCTCTTTCGTAGCCTACCGGTAGCCTATTCTGTAGAGACTAGCCGGGAGGTATCCGCTATTGGTTCGTCGCACGAATTCATATGTAAATCCGTCTGGGAATTCTTCCAAACTTCCAGCTACGGCATTCTTGATAAAGGCGGCAACCATGACTTGTTGTTCATAGAGCGAGGCCTAATGGGAAGAAGAGAGGGAAAATAAAGAACAGTGGCCATTCGTATATCTTGGTATTGAGTAAGCTCTAGAATAATCTAGGTCATTGTGCTGGCTATAGACTTGTGGCTGGTGTAGAGTAATTGATCAGTTTCTTATACTTTGCGCATGCTGGATAATCAAGCCTATATACCCTGAAGCTAAGATAATGAGGACTTGTTCAACACATTCGTCGATACTGAACTGCCCTAATACTACAAGCCGAGATAGAAAATCTATTTCAACTATCTTCGTATCCGGTTCTATTGCATAGGGTTCTCCAAGCAGCTACTCGGGGCACGAGAGAGCAAGGCTTCACCATTTGCTGCCTGTGTACTAGACGGGAGCTTTTGTTACGTTTTTGGAGTCCCACTAAGCTTTAGAAGCTGAATCTCACCTTGCTAGTCCCATCTGGCGGTAGCGTTGGCGTCTACCATCAGATGTTCAGCCAATGCATTCTCGTCAGCGACAGAGTATTAGGTCACGATGTGCTTACCAAGATGACTGAAATGGCCTAATCAGGAGAAGCACACCACTAACAAGAATGATCTCCAATACAATACATTGCTGTGTTAGTGTTGCAGCCAGGTTTCTGAATTGTTTTATCGCGAGGTGGAAAACTAACTCCACCATTTGTGATGGAACTGGGCGGAAAACCACATCAGAAGCATCCTTATGGAACGATGTCGTCAGAAATTCATAGGGAGGCAAAGACTATACCCTTCAAAGTACGGTCCAGTGGGCGTGGTGGTCTCCGTCCTTCCTAAGAACCATGTACTTGCGTAACCTCGTCACGTCTCACTCTAAAGCTTCCAGCTTCAGTGTGAGAGTGTTTAAACCTGAAGAGAATTGATTAAATACTCAATAAATTTGACAGTTACGTACCTTGTGTTTGCAGATTCATGCGGTAGTATGAACTCGGCTACCCCACAGACGCAGTGGCTTGAATAGGCGCAGGCTAGATTTTCAGCTTCAAGAAGCTAACCACATGCCTAGAGTCTAGAACTGCGTCTGGCCTGGCCGCGAGCACACATAAACTGTGACACTGGCGGGGTAAGCATATTTGATAGTTGTCCCGCGTTATCCTGGGCCCCAGTCCCACCTCGACTTTGATTCGGTTTCTGTTCTCCTGTGTGAGGATTTGTTAGGTGTCAAATCCCTTCTGCTGCGTCCTAGCAGGCGAAGTTGTCTTCATGGCCTCTACCAGCTCGTTCAAGAGGCAAGAGGGCATATACTCTGGATGCCTTGTTCACACGATAGGCGCGCTCCAGACGATATTTGCAGCCCTGGTGACGGCAGTGCTGCTGTACTTCATTCTGAACGTACAAAAAGGATCATGGCAACTTCCATGGCCCTGTCTTTTCGTGAGTTTTGATCAGAAAGTGAGAGCTCACTGTATAACCGATGGCTCACCGATGAATAATAGCTGCTCGGCGTTGCAATTTTCACGCTTATCAGTATGGCAGTCAGCGGCATCTTCATGTGCCTGGGCCGCCTCAAACCGCTCTACAGCGCTATGGCAAATGCATTGATAACACTGCTGTGGATAACTGCGTTGGTACTGGTCTCTTTACGCGCGTTCGAGATGGTCAAGCAGCCGTGTTCTGGCACGTACTACACCACAGAGAAGGGGGTCAGTGCTTGTGTTCTATACAAGGTGCTGTACGCAGGAACCGCCTGCGGTATGTGGGTGGTTCTTGTTCTTTAATCTCTTGTAACAGTTGAGGTGCGTCCCCCTCAAATACTGATCTACGTAGATTGTCTTCATCAGCTATGCTTGGCTTGGACATCTCGAGGTTCCGGCGACAGCATTCTCGGGGGAAATACGTTCGTGCGTCCAATCCCAGGGGCGATGAAGACACGGTATACCTGCGTGCACGTGCGAGAGGGCCATAGTCTCTTTACGACGACTCAGGCAGCGAGTACGGATTCGTAATGCAGTCATCGTTGTCTCTTACCGACAGCGGTGCAGCCACTCGCCGCAGAAGTGCAGTGCAAATCAAGCGCAGCGAAGAACATGAGTACAGCTCGCTCTACTTCGGACAGGTGCCGATGCCGCAGGGATCCAGGCAATTTGTCAAACTTTCAGCACCCGTGCCAGCGACGGCCGTTACGGCACCGACTGCGGGAGGACAGTCTTCGTCGGCGGGCACAGGAGGCTTCTCCTTGGTTGCTAACCAGGCTGGGGCTTCCGGGTTCACGTTTGTCGGCCAGGACGATGGTGATATGCCTCGAATCCCGGAAGATCTAGCTCGGTCGGTCCCCGTTCCTGGCGATATTCAGCAGCCGGCGGTGGAAAGTAACCTCCCTGGTTTCCTAGCTCTTGACGTACCTCAGTTCGCGGACGCTTCGAGCATTAGCATTCCAGCTCCAGAAGTGGTGGAAAAGTTTACATTCCGACTGTCGGGTTTAGATGAGCAGACGTACAAGAAGAAAGTGCTGCTTGGCCTCGATGGCATGGCGACATTTGACTCGCTATACTTCAACTACCAAGACGTACACGGCTACGTTCTGTAAAGGAGGGACGACAGGTTCGACACGTATGGAGAGGCCACGTATTTTACGGCCATCGCCGCGGCTGCGTATGCGCTCGACAGCTACGAGTCCCCACGCGAAAACACTAACCAGGTGCTGGGTGGTCTCCTTGATGTGCTTAGCGAGAAGAGCTGGGGAAACCGGGACTCGCAGGGAGTGACGCATCCGATCCGGCATCCTGACTGGCAAGAGATTCACACGTCTGGGATTGTACGGCAAAGACCGATGAGCAAGGACGCTTTTGGGCCCATCGTCGCTGCTTGCTATTACGCCTTCAACTCCCCCAACACGTCCGGGACGGTGCGAGTCAAGGCCAAGAATCTTATCAACCACTGGGTGACATATCTTAGCACGCACAACTGGACCCTGCACACGAACTACCTGCCTGGCGAGTTCGAAAAGGTCCCGGGAGAGAAGGATCCAGGAGACACGACGGCCCCGCCCGACAGGTACAAGAACATTCGCTCGTACGAGAACGGCAAGGAGGGCGGGCCAAGCAGGTACCTCGGCCCCGAGAGTTTCCTGCTGCTCCCATGTGAGCTGTACTCGCTGAAGCACTGCGCCGAGTCGCTCTCGGTGCCTAACAATATTGCGCCTTGGATCAACGCGTCGTTCGCTATCGGGTCCAACATCCCGTACCACATTTTACCCCCGGTCGTGGCGGCGGCACGGGATGGCCTACGATATGTGTTGGACCACCTCGAATTCGAGAAGCGATACCGGATCGAGCTCATCCCTGGATGGGAAAAGGGCGACCTCAAGGGCAAGCTGTCACTCAGTATACCCGAGAGCCAGAAGGCGGCCATACTGGATGCGTTTGAGAAGGCGATCTACGAAATGCTAGATCCTTTATTCAGAGACCCGACCTCGATTGGTTCCCAAGGAAGCCCTATCTACCCCAAGGCCATACGTAAACTGGTGCCGTTCTTCCCAGGCGATCTGCGAGTGCTCCCGCTCAACGAAATCCTTCAAGATCTCCTGGCGCAGGCTATGCCGTGGCTCCAAGACGACCTGCTCTTTGAGTACCTCGCTTTCCAGCTGACCTTTGACCCCAGAATAAAAAATAAGTTGGGAGTGGTCGCCCTTTCAGGCGCCAGTGTCCCGGGACTCTACTTTGGGTGGAAGGTTGGCACGGCACCCACGGAACCCCCAGACGCGTCCTTGGCCGGATACACTTTCTGGAGCATGCTCATGGAGCTCGAAACGAGACCTATTCTGAATTGTCTGCTGCGGCCTCTGTCGGGGAACCACTTCGGGGCGCTCAAGGCGGCACAGAATCCAAACGGCCTGTGGGCAGCAGTGTGCGAAGACCGGGCGGCGATCGACACCGCCATCCAGAACTTCCTCAACCTGGGCGCCCCATCGCTCGACTCGAAGCCCTACGCTTGGAGTAAGAACTATGGGGAATGGCTTGACAAAAAAGACGACCCCATGTCCTCCCGACTGGATTACCTTATACTGAGGGCGCTTATTGACAAGGGCGTCCCTCGGCGGGTGCCCTTGAGCCTCAGTAGCCTACAGATATTTGTCGATGCAGCAGAGTCCCTCATCCGCAACATCATTCTAAGCGCGATCGACGAGTTTAAGAAGACGGGCAAATACTACGTCATGGTGACCGATGCGGCTGGGGCAGTAGTCCAGGATCTCATGGATGCGTCCGTAGGTTTCGTACGCAACATCTGGAAGGCCGGTGAGCAAACATCATCCACTCTGCACAAGTTGGCCGGGCAGGTCGAGCAGTGGCGGTGGAGGTCGAGTCAAGGAGGTCTGGCCGGGTACACGAGGTGGGCAAAGGCTCCTATAGAGGGTCTCCCGCCATTCTCGGATCTGCTCGAGCATCACATACGAGACCTCGACGGTGCTCTGAGGGTCTGGAAGTGGGGAGACAACATGAGATTCAAGGAGTTTGCCAAATTCGCCACGAGCGGAGTCGACGGCGCGATCGACGAGGCACAAAAGGTCATTCAGCAGGTGAGAGATCTGGACGGCCGGCTGCACCAGTGGATCTCGTCTCGCGGCCAGCTACGCAGCTACCTTGGATGGATCGATGCCGCGGCAGGCGGGAGCGTTGCCATCAACAGTTGTGTGTTACACGTAGTCCGCGACCTCGCCGGTGGCCTGAAGAGATGGGAGTACAACGCCGGGCATGTGCTCAAGAACTTCAATCACTGGGCCACATCGGACAGCCTGGGCAACTCAGACCCGTCTAAACTGCTCCAAGTAAGTGAATCCATCCTGCAAGCCATTTCTGCTCTTGACTGACCCAATACATGAAGTCTACCGTCCGAGATCCAGCTGGATTTCTGATACAGTCCATCTTCAGCTCGGGCGCGCTACAAAAGGAATTTCATTGGGCTTCATCGAGCATTCAAGGTATCGGCCGATCTGCGGACTGTATCCTTGTCCAGGTCCGCGACCTAGACAATGCTATACATCAGTGGACGCTTGGGGGTGGTGTTGTCAAGAAGTACGAGAAGTGGGCAAAAGCAGACAGAAACGGAGGCGCGAGTTCAAACGACTTGGTCAAAATCGTCGAGCGTCTGCCCGAGGGAAAGTTCATCGTCATCTCAGTCAAGGCTGGCATACAGGTGGCGCAGAAGACCACAGACGGGTTGGGCCATGTTCTCAAAGAGACTGGAAAGATCCTCGACCAGACCACCAAACCAGTCAAGAAGCTTGAAACCTGGTTTAGTCGACGCTTAGGCCTGTAGCAGTAAGATTGGAATGGCGGTCTGACTTGGATCTTTTGTTCGCAACACAAATCTCCGACTCGTTCTCTTCTATCACGTTTGCATGGCCTCGGCACTGGGACCGGCACATCGCATCGCTTTGTCATGCCCCTTACCAGCTTCATGCTCAGAGAGCAGACCGTTGTTTGTATACAAGATCGTTTGTGATCACTAAGGCTCTCAGTTTGCGGGGGTAGGTTGATTTGCTTTCGGTTGCTAGCTATGATCATTGCTGGAGTGCCCCGTACAACAAGGTAGCTAGTGTACACTCAGACTATTGTTCTGTAACACCGAATGTGGCAGCTCCATCAAGAACCAGTACTTCCGTATCTAGCAAGCCAATGTTCTTCACGGTAAGCTCGTCATCTTTGGTAACGTGCTCAATGAAGGCACCGTCTCCTTCCGACAACTCTACAGTCGAAACGCCGTTCACACACAAGCGGACATTTGCCTCGCCATTTCTCGTCATCGGAAGATGCACATATACCTTCCTTGCATTGTCCGTAGTGACACGGCCACCCATCGCCCAGTGAAACTCCCTGCCTGGAGCAATGATGCCGGCTGCTGCAACGAAGTCCGCATGTATCGGCAACGTCTCAGGCTCAGCCGGTTTCGAATCGCCTTCATGTTCAATTGTTGCGGGAATACCAGACTTGAATGGGCTGATGAATTTGAGGAAGTTCAGCCTTTTCTTGTCCTCGCTGAAACTGAGATTCCGATATGCCGGAGTCAACCCCAGTTTCCATGGTGCGACCCAGATCTGAAGCAAGTGAACAGCCTCAGACACATGTTCATTGATTTCAGAGTGGGAAATGCCACTTCCTGTTGTCGTCAATTGAACGTCATTGCGACGCATACGATAGAAATCTTTTGACCGATCTCCATCCTGTTCCGCTTTGGCTTGCGTAAGCCTTGAATCGCGATGTGTCAATTCACCCGATAGTACATAGGTGAAAATCTCGAAGTTCTGGTGATGATGTGTTGGAAAACCAGACTGCGGTTGGACCACATCTTCGCCTATAGCTGTAAGTGAACCGAAGCGATTGTAGGGCGGTTCTTTATCCGGGTTGAAGCTTTGGTAAGTCGTCAACCACGGGAGTTGATGATGCGTTCTGGTACTAGATGGCTGAACCGTGATCTTGGCCCGACCCGACATTGTATTTCGATATATAGCTAGGAACACTGCTCGAGCCTTTGGGCTGTTAGAGAATATTCAAAAGTATATAAAGGTGGATTGTTGACACTTATCTCGGGTATTTCTAAGATGAGTCTACTTACGCTTCTGGATAGAGAAGGGGGCAACGTGCAACAAGCAACGGCTTTGATAGCGCAAGAGGATACGCAAGATGGGAAAGCGTAAACGAAATAAGCTACCAAAAGTAAAGTCTACTTGGTAAGGATGAATCGGTACTGTGGCGTAAACCTTCAGATTCACGCCGAGCAAGAAGATGAAGTCAACTAAGGAGCTTCAAGATACTGGAATCACCGGTACAAGTGATAGGAGTAAGTGGATTGCATCGTTCGTCGTAGTGTAGGGACATTGCCCTGCTTTATAGATTGCTGGCTCTGCGGGTTTGCGGAGTCTTACTCGGGTGTCCTAATCGATATTCGATGTCACCAGCAACATCCAGAGGTCATAAACTGCGTCTGTGAATCTGAGAATGCTAGAAGCCGCACCAGCCTTCCTTACACCACAGGCTACAGACAGTTCGTCGGATGATTTGTTTGGTTGTTGACAGTAAACTTCTCCACTTGGACAGGGGTTTCGATGTTGAGTATGTAGCCTACCGCGCGGTTACCGGATGAGGGTAGTTCGTGTGTGGCACTGACTTCGATTTGTAAACCACCCTAGATCAGCTGCGCATAAAAGGAAAAACAAAGCAAAAACAGGGTTAGGTCATCTCAGAAGCGCAGGAAAAGCGAAAAGGTCTTAAGGGATATCGGAAACGCAACATACCCAAGCTAAATCACAATTCCGCTCATCATGGAACAGGAAGTAGAGCAAGCTATAGAAGAGAGCTGGTATTGTAGAGGCCGCTGTCGGATGCATGCTGACGGGGTCGGTTCCCTTGATGTTAATACCCACTTCCACTTGGCACTGAATCTATTCTGTTTCAACTGTTTCATTCGGGTTTATCAGAGAGAAGATGAGCCCCGCGAAATTGTCGACTGAAACACGCATTGATATGGTTCCTTTCTTCGCTGACGCAGCGCTTCTGCCTGGTCCACTCCCCAGCACCGAAGCCATTGCCTCATGTGAAGATGTACTCAAGGAATACCTGGGCCGGCGCATTGTTCGTATTGGAGAATTAGTCGTCAAGTATGGTACTTGGGTGTCCTTAAATGAGGGCCACACAATGCGTTTTATCAAACAGCACTCAGCAATACCAGTCCCGGAGGTTTACGCCATATATTCTACCCCAAAAGAGAATTCTCACAGGCCAACAAATTCTATCATAATGGAGCATATACCTGGGGAAAGCCTTCAAAACTGCTGGTCTAATCTTGATGATGAAGCAAAAAATAAGATCACTGATCAGCTCCGGGCTTACTTCATACAACTACGTCAAATCCCTTATCAGGGCTACTTTGGTGTGGTTGGAAAACGGCCATTTGAGGATGGAATGCTTCGGCCTTTCGACGTGACTGATATCAACGATACTGCGAGCAACGATACTGGCTAGGAGCCCTATTCTGGCCCTTTGAATCAGAGAAGGAGATGATAGAGGCTATTTTATCTAGGTATCATCTGGCCTATCCCAAGTTCACAAAGTGTGGGGTTTATATGCGACACCTTCCAGAGATTGTTGGAGATGGCCCCCAGGTTTTCACTCACGCAGACTTTCAGCGGAAGAATGTTATCATTGGTAAGGACGGGGCTGTGGCATTAATTGACTGGGAGGCAGCTGGGTGGTATCCGGCATTTTGGGAGTATGCTATTGCTCATTTTGCCTGTCATTGGAATGACGACTGGTCCATTTGGATCTCACGAGTTCTGGATGAGTATCCTAACCATTTTGTATGGGTTGATACAATTTTCCGAGAGCTTTGGTCTTAAGTTGCACCATAAATAGTCCCTTGCTGGAATGGACAGATGGCGTTCACGATTTTCGGTTTTCGGTTGAAGAGATCCTATCTTGCCGGGGTGAGATCCTTAGAATCCAAATTGTATTTCTCTTAGTAGGGGGTTGTTGAAGGCGCCGGCCACGGCTACCACAAGCGACAATAATGCAGAGTACCCAAGATGCCCCTAACAATAAGCTAATATCAAACGCTTAACATGCGATCAAAGGAGTGAATCGTCATTCATTGTAAACATAAACCCATAAATCCAACATTACTCCTTCAACACCCAAACTACAGCTTGTGAGCTCTCCTGGCGACCCGCCCCTCGTCAGTCTTCATGGGATGAACCGGCTCAGGCACGACGGTCGCGCTGATCCGACGTCCAAAGTACTCAATCTCGACCACGGCACCCTCGCCCAGGCTGATAGGGAGGTAGGTATAGGCCAGCGGCTTGCCAATCTCGTAGCCGACGCCCGAGCTGGTAACGTAGCCCACGGCCGTGCCCTTGTGGAACACTGGCTCTTTTCCGAGAACAACGGATCGACCGTCGTTGATAACAAGGCGTCGAAGACGCTTGGACACTGCATCTTTAGATCGGCCTTGGAGGGCAGCGTGGCCGAGGTATCCCTCCTTTCCGGGGTGTAGAAGGAACTCGAGGCCAGACTCGTAAGGATCATGCTCGGGTGTCAGGTCGGAGCCAAACGACGGGAAGCCAGCCTCCAGTCTCATCGACGCAAGGGCACTGCGGCCTGCTGCAATTACGCCGTGAGCCTGACCGGCCTTCCACAGAGAGTCCCATAATCTGAGACCGTTCTCGGCACTGGTGACAATCTCCCAGCCGGGCTGTCCGACATACGACATCCTGATGACCTTGGCAGGTAAACCTCCGATGTGTGCAAGCTTGAGGTGGAGGTGAGGCAGAGCACTGTCCGAGAAGTCATCCGCTGACACGGCGGAGAGGATCTTGTGCGCGTTGGGGCCCCAGAGACCGATGCCGCAGGTGCCGCCGGTGATGTCGCGAACATGCACGAACTTGCCGTTTCCAAGCTTGTTCTGCTTGCGGGCCTCGCGGGAGAAGAATGTGAAGTCGGTTGGGCCGTTGACGCCCAGGAGGAACAAGTCGTCCAGGACTCGCGATATGGTCATCTCACTCTGGATTCCTCCCTCTTGGTCGAGAAGGAGCGAGTAGGTGGCGACGCCAGGCTTCCTGGATACATTCCCAGTCGTCAACCTGTCTAACAGATCAACCGCGCCTGGGCCTGCAATCTCCAGCCGACGGAATGCCGTCGTGTCGAACATGGCCGCGGCAGTCCGCGTCCTCCACGCCTCGGCAGCGACAATAGGGGAGTAGAACTTGGCAGCCCAGGGGTCTCGCCCAGCAGGCTTGAACTTAACCGGCATCTCTTCGAGCAGCTTCGCGTTGCTCTCGTACCAGTGGGGCCGCTCCCATCCTCCCGTCTCGAGGAAGAAGGCGCCTAGCTCCTTGTGGCGGGCGTGGAACGGGCTGACCCGGACGTTGCGGGGGGACTCCTTGGGCTGTAGGGGGTGGATGATGTCGTAGACCTCGACGAACTGCTGCGAGCACGTCTCGTTGACGTACGAGGGGGTGAGCTGGATGTCTTCGAAGCGGCTGAGCTCGCAGTCGGTGAGGTCGATCTCGGACTTGCCGTTGACGAGCAGCTGAGCGAGCGCGCGGGCGACACCGCCGGAGTGGGTGACCCAGACGCCCTCTGCTACGTAGAAGTTGTCGAGGTTTGGGGCTTGGCCAACGAGAGGACCTCCGTCGGGGGTGAATGACATGATGCCGTTGAAGCCATCGGCGATCTCACTCTCCTTCAGAACTGGGAGAATCTCCTGTGATAGTTTCCATGCCGGCTCGAAATCCTTGGGTGTGAATTCTAAGCGGGAAGGCATGTTATGCTCGGTGACTTTCTTGGCTGTAGGGCCTAGAGAGGCGGCAACGACAGGCATGGGACGGTGGCCGTAGAAACCAATGCCATATTGGTCGCCGTGTTCACGGTAGTATAGATCTTGGTCCTGGTGTCTCAAGATGGGAAGGTTGGCACCGTTAGGGAGGGGATTTCGGCCGGCCGAAGCTGGCACGGGTGTGGTTTTGGCATACTGGTGAGCCATGGGCTGCAATGGGATGGAAAGGCCAACCATGGCACCAACCTCAACACTCCAGAGACCGGCACAAGCAATGACAATGTCCGCCTCGATGACGCCGTTGGCTGTCTCGACACCAGTGACGCGGCCACCAGACTGCTTGATGCCGGTGACGGCTGTGTTTCCGAGGTATCGAGTGCCAGACTTGCGTGTGCGCTCAATTAAAATCTGAACTGATCTGGCGGCCAGCGCAAGACCGTCGGTGGGGATGTGAAGACCTCCGTACAACAACTGCTTGTTGAGGTGGGGGTACAGCTTGACACACTCATCCGGGGTAATGACCCGGGCATCAATGCCCCAAGACGAGGCAAAGCCGCGTTTTCTCTTTAGTTCCTCGAGTCTCTCTGGGGTAGTGGCGATCTCGAGACCACCGACCTGGTTGAAGCAGCTCTGGCCATCCTCAACAATAGATAGTAATTTTTCTATCGTGTATTTGGCGAAGAGGGACATCGTCTTGGATGGAGTGGTCTGGAAGACCAATCCCGGTGCGTGGGAGGTTGACCCTCCAGGCATATCTAGAGGGCCCTGCTCAACCACTGTGATATTGTTCCATCCTCGCTTGATCAGCTCGTCGGCGACGTTGACGCCAACGATGCCGGCTCCAATGATCACAACGCGGGGAGGGGTAGAAGCCATGATCTATGGGCTGTGTGTCTCACTGAATGGGAGTAGAGACTAGAATGGAGAAGGGGGGAAGGGTGATTAGAGTTTGGAAGACTTAATCCAAAAGATTGGTTGACCCGAAGGCGTTGCGGCGTTCTTCATTTAATAGCAATCCCGCCATGACGGGGATGAGATACTTGAGACTACATAGCCTTTGGCCGGTAACGCTCGTCAACGATATCGGAATAGCCTACGATAATGCAACCTGATAATGCTCCAAGTCTATGATAGTCCGGCTCCTCAACGCGCGCTATGACTATCACCAGATCCGGGGAACCCGACACGTGATCGGTGTATGAACGCCGTGGCCGTGCCGGCTTGATAAGAGTACCCCTCCAGACCGAACCCGCCACGTGCTCTACGAGAAGTGCCTTTATCAAAAGCTTACCCCAAAAGTGGGAGAGAATGTCCGGTTTGTCTCCGTAGGGGCAATCCCTGCGCCGGCAAGATAAGCTACATTGGACAAGCGAGAGTTGTCGGTGGGATCACGAGGATACTCCCCCACACGGCCCCTAGGAAGAATCCAGATAGTCCTTGACTTTCAACTATGGTAGGGCGGTGACATCGCGGTTTCTGCGCGGGTTGTGCCGGGTCAAGGCCGTTGCATTCGATGTGTAATGTTGATGATGTTTCATCCCAAGGCGGATGTTGACCGTCCTACACCGTCCCCGCATCGTTGTTCAGTGTCACCCATCTATTGGTTCTCTCAGAAGGATTGTTTGATAATAGATGGACAGGTAAGATGTTTCACCTTGAAAGAATATATGATCGCCCCAATCTGAACTTGTCTAGAACATAACCAAACCTGTATACCAAAATCACCCCTTTTACCGCCCAATTCACCCAAAATTATAGACCGAACGCAGAGTCATGAATGCAAAAAGTAAAGACAGTACCAAATCTCATGCGCCCACCACCCAACTAGAATTGATTAAACATGATGTTGCTGAAATTTTCATCCTCCCACCAGGCCATGCCTCCCGATCTATTGTCACCTATCATCTGCTGAGCATCACCGCTGTAGCCCATATCACCGACATTAACAAATTGCGATGGGTCTGCGTATAGCCATGGCGTTGTGGTGAAGGTCAGAGCATCTGTCTGCTCTACAGACATCTTGTCCCCTACAGAGGACGTTTGCGGGGAGTTTGTGTTTACGGTAGGCAGGTTGGACGACTTGAATGGTAGGGTTGGCGCTTCTTGACCGCCATCGGCTGTGTCTATCGTGATCTCAGGGGATGTGGCGACGATAATCTCCAGCGTCGAGCTCTCTCCCATGTCCCGGTGCATCGGGGCTGGTGTGAGAGTTTTGTCAAGAAGCCCCGTTGTGGGGATCCCGCGTCCGTTGGAGTCAGACATGAAGTCAAACTGGAGAATCTCCCACATAAGGGGAACGCTGAGATATATCTTGGATGGCATCCAGTCTTCGACGTCCATGCTTTCAGATCCAGCAGCGATCCGTGTCATCCTATCTAGACTCCGGTCCTATTACAGTTGTTAGCTTGGCAAAAGTAAGAAGAGTTCAGAAAGGGAGTTACTCACAAGTGCTTGACAGGCCGCGGAGTGCGGTAAGAACCCCTTCAAAAACCTCCTGCACTTAGCAAAGTCCGTATTTGACTTGTGCTTTAGTCTTGAGGCCGCTGAGCAGCAGTAGTAAAGATGAACTGTAGCAGCTATGGCAGCCACATGCCCGAAGAAAGGATCAACCAAGGGAACCTGCTTATCAACCACCATGTCGATGAAGCGGACAATCCAGGTAGAATGCAGTAAAGCCAGTTCAGAGGATCGT